TTTAATATAAGGAAAGGTGCAGAGATAAAACAACCATGAGATCTCTAGATTTATTATGTCTTGTATACACAGCAGGCAAAGCCCTTTTACAATACTATTCCTAATCACCTTCTCAAACCTCATTGAATGTTTCTATTAACTTATCTCTTCTTAGTGTAAGTATTATTAACTGTTAATAATGGTCTTTCTACTGGAAAGAGGGTCCTCTGGCTTCCATTGTCCAGAAAGTTGACCTTCCTCAATCCATTCTTAGGTTTTTCCCCCATTTTCTGCTATATTTATACTTCACTGTACTCTTACTTTCAAATTAATTATATAGACAGTTAGTGTTTATTAGACATACTAATTTTTTATTACTCCATTGCCTACAACTGACTTCTTTTTTTTCCATCTTAGTTTGTGGTTTCATTTTCTTTTTGCTGGAGAATATTCTTTGGTAGTTCATTCGTTAAGAATGTAAACTTTCTATGTCTTTGATTATCTGCAGTTGTCCCTACTATCTTTTCATTCTGGAATTCCATTTTCTTGTGATAATATTCTTGCAAATGAGATTCTACTCTCACTTGGACAATATGTTTCTGTCTTTCTGTCTGATGCAATGTAAGATACTTAGTATGTATATTTAGTCTTTCTGTGATGTGTATTCAAGTGAATATGGCTTTTCCTCTTGTCTTTCTCAGCAATTGTGCTGTCTTAATCTTAATATGAGCATCCTAACCTTTCCACAGTTCTGGAATTTTTTTCATCAGCTATTTTAAAAAATATTAAATATTATCTTTGGTCAACTCTTTCTAGTTTATATTTTATGCATTCCTTCTTATAGTTAATTGAATTTTTTAAACTCTATATTCTTTAGCTTTTAAAATATTTTTATGCTTCCTGGTTCTCCGTGTTGCATTCTGACTAATTCCTCTAGATCTCTCTTCAGTTCACTAATTTTTCCTTTGAGTGACTCCTGAGATTTTATATTTTAATTACCATGTTCTGCATAAAATTTTTATTGAATTGCTTTCAAATTTCCCTGTCCTTTTTCATTATGTCTAACTTAATTTTAGGCTTTGTATTATTTCTTTGTTTTATTCTTTAATCTTATAATTTATAGTTTCTATGAATTTTCAGTGATTGGGCTACTTATACATTTCTTATTCCTGCACATTGCCCAGACATTTCCAATACCACGTTCTTCTTATCTATTTCAATGTAAGCTCTAAGATGACTTCCACTGAAGCTGCTCTTACTTTTCATATTACTATATCCAGTTGCCAGTCTGTCATTGTTATCAGATTTCACTTCTCATCATCATTTAAAATGTTTTCACTCTTGAGTCCTGAAAGTGAAATATCCATAATTGGTCCTACTCAGGCTACTGTGCTGAATATCCTATTACCTAACTGTTAAATATTACACTATTTCAACTCTAAGTCTTAAATTGTGTTTAATATATCTCTTCTTAATTCATCTTATTCAAACTGTGGCATTTCATTATATCTACAAACTCAAGATTTGCAACTAGTTCTTACTCTGACTTCCAGATTCACTATTGCCTATTGTATATTTCAGTTTTAATCTGTAAGATACCTCATTAAATATATTAAAAGTTGAACATTTGCTTTTCTTTTTAATCTCAAGTGTTGCTTTCCCTCATTGTATCGGTTTAGAAAATATCCTGTTCCTCTTGATGCAGAAGCAGAAAGACAAGTCGCACTTAGCAAATGTCTTGGGGCTTTCTATCTGTTTACATTTTTCAGAAATTTCTCTTCACTGGAATTCAGTGAACAGAAATGAGAAAAAGATATTTTCAGTGCTGTATGTATCAATGGCTCCAGCATCTAGCACTGTATAGTTTATTTATATATATTTAGGCTTCTGGTAAGGCAATGAATGAATAAATGAAGAGTTCTGAACAAATGTTACCACAAATCTTCACGACAAAGTTGTATCATACCTATTTCAATTTTATTGTCCTCCTAATTCTTCAGATGATGAGCTACTGAGCCTTTTGTGATAAAGATAGATTAGGTCTTCCTTAGAAAACTTCTATGATATCATAGGGTCCCATGAATTTGAAGTTATCAAATTCCAAATATTTTAGCTTCCTCCTAGCTTTTGGATACTGGTAATACCACTCAAAAGATCTATTTGTTTGACCCAGTAAGAATAACAGAAACAAACAGCTGCAGTACACATTTTTCACCTTAACTAAAAAAAAAAATCTAAAATTATTCTAAGTGAATAGTGTAAGTACATTAAATGAGCTAAACACTACTAAAAATAGATATAACTTGGTAAGAGCATTTTATCTTTTCCATATCAGCATCTATCATATGTCATTAGGTATTTAAGAGCTTTAAATTTGACCTAAGATAATTAATTGCTTTTTTGCATTTCCAGTATATAGCTATAA